CTCCAAAGCATTTCTGTCAGCTCTTTCATCTCAATGACAAAGTAACTAATGCACTGGGATGAATAGAAAGAAGAGCTATGCTAGTCAGGGATGGGTGGAAGCAGGCAGGCAAGTAGATAAGTGGCAGATGATTAGCTAAGTAGACTGCTGACAGGTAAGTCATCAGATAAGTTGATAGATGCAGGTAGATAGGTAGAAATATATAGATGACAGATGATGGCTAGATGACAGGTAGATAGATGAAATATAAATAGGAAGATAGATACATAGACATATACAGAAGTAAATAGTTTACAATGGAGAAGTGCCCCACAGTTCATTGCCTCTGAGCCAGAAGTTCAGGAAAGACAGGGTTGTAATGAGTCCACCATCAAAGGCTGGGAAATCAGGAGCTGTGCTGTTTGCCTCTTTGTTCTGGTCAGGCCTGAGATGGGTTGGGTGATGCCACGTGTGCTGGATGATGCCATGCATGCCAGTGAGAGCATTGTCTTCTTTAGTCTATTGACATATGTGCTAACCTTTTCTGGAAACATCTTCACAGACACACCCAGACATCATGTTTTGTGAGCTGTATGGGCAACCCATATCAGCTTGATCAACAAAGTTGACTATCAAACCACCACAGAACAGTGTACAGTTGCTGGGCTCAACCATTTCAGGAAGATTGGCCAGCCCATAAAGGCAACTGTTTTCTTTGAAGAGTCATGCTCTCACCTCCCCCGCCCATCACCTCCCCCCATCACCTCTGCCATGGCCTGATCCATCGCCTCCCCTTGCCATTTTCTTCCTTCTGCAAACTCCTCCCCCACAGCCCCCTCATTACCTCTCTGCTAGCATCACCCCGCTTTGTTTTCCCTGAGCATACCTTCCCACCTCCACCTCCTGCCAGCGCTTCCCTTGTCTTTCTCATCTGCTAATACTCCGAACCCATCATCACCACCTCTGAGTTTCTGTGGCCTCCCCACATATGCTGGCTGGTTTTACATCTACTCGACACAAGCTAGAGTCATTTTTGGAAGAGTTACCCTCAATTGAAAAAAATGACCTCACCAGACTGACCTGTGAGCAAGCCTGTGGTGTATTTTCTTGATCGATGATTGATATGGAAGGGCCTAGCACACTGTGGTCTGGCGGTCCTGGCTGCTCTAAGGCAGGCTGAGCAAGTCTTAAAGAACACGCAGTAATCAGTGTAAGCAGTCAACAGAGTAAGCAGTGATCTTCCATGGCCTCTGTTTTACATCCTGCCTCCATGTTCCTGCCCCGACTTCCCTCAGTAATAGACTGTGCAATGGAACTGTAAGATGAAATGAACGCTTTCCTCTCTGAGTTGTTATGGTCACATTTATCACAACAATAGAAACTATAACTGAGACATCATACATACAGCGTAACTCCCCATGGATGAGGTCACCTGCCTTTTGAGCACAGTTGGACGAAAGTTTTTTCTCTGGGAATTGGGCATAGATACTAAATAGTATCTAATCTGTTTTGGCCTAGGACATTATGGATTCAAAAGTAAGATCAGCATCGGGAGGTGATTGGACTTGTGTCCAGTGGAGTAAAGAAAGTCTATCCACAGAGAGGAAAAAGAGCAATAAAGACTTACTACTATAAGCATCTTAATATCTAATTATTAAGCCTGGCTGTATCCTGCACTGCACCCACAAGAATGGCTCATTGGAGCCTTAGCACAATTCTACAGAGCAAGACTAGTGACTATCATCCAAGATGCTGAATGCTCAGACCTAAAGTGACTTAGTAGATTATCCAGCCATGCACCTTGAAACGATGCAATCAGAGGCCAGCCCTCAGGTCAAACCCAAAGCTGAGCACTGCCCACAAGGCTAGTGGGCAGTAGGCTAAGTTGGAAGCTCAGATCAGACTAAATAGCTCCCAGAAGCAGAAAAGCACTGGACAGATTGCTATGTGGGTTCCTGATGGCCTAAAACACTTGCCTTAATCTTACACTAAATGGTCTCTCCCACTTCTTAAGAACAATGCTACAATCCACAGACACAAAGAAGCTGAGTAACAAGGAAGGCCCAAAGGAGGATGCTTGAATCTCACTCAGAGGGGAAATAAAATAGACATTGGAGGTGGAAGGAAGGAGAGAACTGGGTGGGAGAAAGGTAAGGAGGAGAGCAGGGGTTGGGATCAGGTGTGGGGTAGGAGAAGGAGAGGGCTGGGAGAGAGAAAGGAAATCCGAGTGCAGGAGTATTTGGGACAAGCTGGAGACCTGGGACAGGGGAGGCTCCCAGTGATCTATGGGAGTGCCCCTAGCTGAGACTCCTAGCAGCCGGGGATATGGAGACTGAAGAGGCAGGACTTCCATTGGAGGGAGGGGAATACGAACTCACCCACAAAATCTTTGACCCAAAGTTTTTTCTGCCTACAAAATGTGCAGGGATAAAGATGGAGCAGAGACTGAGAGAATGGTCAACCAATAACTTCTCCATTTTGAGACCCGTCTAATGTGAGAGAGCCAACCCCTGACACTATTGATTCTCTGCTGTGCTTGCAGACAGGTGTCTAGCATCACGTCTTCTGAGAGACTTAATCCAGCAGCTGATGAAAACAAATGCAAAGACCCACAGCCACACATCGGGTGGACCTCAGGGAGTCTTCTGGAAGAGTGCAGGAAGGATTAAGGGAGATGGAGGGGTCAGGGACACCAAGGAAACCTACAGAGTCAGCTCACCTTGGCACATGGGGGCTCACAGAGACTAAACCACCAACCAAAGAGCATGCAGGGCATGGGCTGGATCTAGGCCCCCTACACATTTATAGCAGATGTGCAGCTTGGTCTTCCTGTAGGTCTCCTAAAAATTGGAAAGGGGTCTGTCTCCAACTCTGTTGCCTTCCTTTGGATCTCCTCTAGTTGGGCTGCCTTGTCTGGCCTCAGTGGGAGAGGATGTACTTAGTCCTGCAGTGACTTGATGTGTCAGGGTGTGTTGGTACATGGATAGTGCTTCCCCATCTCTGAAGAGTAGGGGAGGAGATAAAAAATGGAGAGGTTTGTGAGGGTGGGAGAGGAGGGAGGGGGCTGCAATAGGAGTGTAAATTAGATTAATTAATTAATTAATTAATTTTAAAAAATGGTACAGTGTATTCAACAGATCTTTGTCAAAAGTCTTAACCATGGGTAGCAAGAAACAGTAGGTGTGCCCCCCCTCTTGCTCCTTCCCCCCCACATCTCTCTCTCTTGAACTCTCACCCTTACTCGAAACCATCTTTTTCTGGGCACCTTTCCAGGTGCTGCAGGAAAACGCTGTGTCCAGCTACTGCATCCTGGTCACCTCCTGTCACTGTGATTTTCGCTGTAAATTACAGAGTCCTCTGGCTATGCCAAGGGACAAGAGAACCTGTGCCTCTTGGAGGAACTCACAACTCCGAGACCGTATTAAAGACATGGTTTACATGAGTTCTGTATTGGCCCCTATGTTGAAATTTAACATCCCTCGTGAGGTGAAGGTGGAAAGTTTCAACATGACTGTGGTGTTTGGAGATCAAGCACGTAGGAGGTGACAAGGATAGTGTTAACATCATCAGGGTAGAGAATCTGGGATTTGAATGCTGATGGCTTTATAAGGAAAGAGGCAAAAAATACATAGAAACAGCCCTGTCTCTTGCCTCAGTCTTAGGACATGTGCACAAGGAGGCTGTGACTTGATGCAGGCCGTTGACCACGGGACAAACCATGATTCAAACCAAGCCTCTTTTCTTTACATAGTTAACAGTTTTGGGTATTCTGTTATAGTAACAGAGAATGAGCTAGTACGTCATAAAATGTTCTAGAGGACCAGAGGCAAACTATTCGTTGCTACTCTTGCTGTTATGACAAAGAACCCAAAAGAAGCAACTCAAAGGGGGAAAGGATTCATTTTGGCTCATAGTTGGGGGCTAGGGGAAGCCCACTGTAGTAGGAAAAGCTAATGGTTTAGGGGTACAGTCCACTGTGTCAGGGAAAGCTCGTGACTGGAGTATGAGGCCACTTGCTTACTCCTGGGAAGATCAAGGAGCAGAGATAGGGAGTATTGATCATCTGCTGGCTTTCTCTTTTCTCTATTTTAATTCAGTCTGGAACCCCAGCCCAGGGGTTTGTACCATCCATATTCAGAGTAGGTCTTCCTCTGTTAATTAATTCTTTCTGGAAACATCCTCACAGACATACCCAATAAAGCTCTAGACTTGACAATGGAAATGAATTATCGCATACACAATATATAACCACATCGCCAGTGCAGCTGATGCCCTGGCCCCAAAAGCACCCAGCTCTACTTTATGATCCTCAAACTCCAAAGCCATGCTGTCCTGCCTCACAGTCTGTGCTCAAGCTGCTGGCCAGCAAGGCCTATAATGTGCTTTGCTCTCTGGCTCCGAGATTCACATTGCCACGCAAGTCCACTGAGGCCCTTACTGGCTCTAGCTGCAGCAAGTTTGTGGTCTTTCCCACTACTGATCGAGAAGGCACAATTTAAAAAGGAATGCCCTTGGTGGGCCCACCTGCAGCTCTGCCTCATCATCTCCTGGAAGTGTGCTGCAGCAGATACAGGAAGGAGGGCCAGGGAATACTTGAGACTGGGTTGTGATTAGCCTATACTGCCCAGCAGAGGAGATGCTTCATGGGGAGAAATGTCCAGGTAAATCCTGACACAAGCAGAAACCTGAGACCATCATAACTTGATACCCAATGGTCAACCTCCCTACTTTGCACAAGACTCAGGGTTTTTCAGAACAGCAGACTTTCAGCAATGAAACTAGGAATGTTTCCCACAAACAAGCATGGGCTGGGTATGGTAACTTAATAACCGTTACTATCAACTGACACCTCATTTTGTTCAGATCCTATTCTCATGCAGTAGTTTTCAGAACGTAATTTGGCTTTCCAGGTATTCATGGAACAGTGCTGAGTCTGACATATAACAAGGGCTCAATAAATATTCGCATTTTTTAAATAATAATTTATTTAAATTATTATTAATCCAAATGTTTTGCTTTCTTATTTTTTCCTCCTCTTTAGACATCATATTTCATTTCTTAAATTCACACACAGGATACTTGCTGTCTCTTGGGGCTTTGCTTGGCGTGAGGCAGTTCCCTGAGGCAGGTCTGTCTTGGTGTGTTCATACCTCAGACTCAGCTTGTAGTGCGCTGACTCTGTAAGGCTACTGTGAGTGGCAGCTGCTGGTCTCATGAGTGTCCCTTCTGTCATGGTTTATCTTCAGTGTCAACCTGACTAGATGTGGAAGGCCCCAGGAGACACGCTTCTGGATAGTCAGTCTGTGATGGTGTTTCCAGAGATGGTTGACTATGGAAGGGAGATCAACCCTGGATGTGAATGTCAGGATTCATGGACTGGGGCCCAGACTGAGTAAAAAGTGAAGAAAGAAAGCCAGCTGAGCACCAGCATTTACCTTCCATGCCTGTCCACTGCAGATGTCATGTGACTATAGCCTCATGCTCTGGCCACCATGCTTCCTACCATTGTGGACTGAACACTAAAATGATGAGCCCAAAATGCTTAACGTGTGTGTGTGTGTGTGTGTGTGTGTGTGTGCGTGTGCGCGTGCGCACACACGCACGCACGCACATTATATAATAGAAATATATATTTATATAAATAAATATGTTGAGGCGACTTCTTCAAATTGTATTGAGGTATGTCTCTGTATTTCGAACTGTTAATTCTGTATCAGCAGGGTATTGTCATTTCTATAGTCCATCTATTTTGTAAATGTTTGTCCTTCCTCATCTGCCTAAAAGCAATCTAAGAGATGTATCAGGTGTTGTGACACTGCTGATTGGTTTCAATAAAGATCTGACAGCCAGTAGCTGGGGCAGGAAGTACAAGGGTGGAACCTCTGGGAAGAGAGAGTGACTCAGGGAGAATTGAAAGTGGACACAGGAGGGAACAGACATGGACACAGCAGAGCAGGGAGGTGAAGAACTAGCTCCATGGTGGGCCACAGGCTAGAATAGCCAGGTTATGTTTAAACGGTAGCTCAGAGACTGCCCCAGCATAAGGCCTAAGCTTTAAACTATATTAGAAGTCTCTGTGTCATTATTTAAATCACTGGCTTGATCCAAAAATGTCCAAAAATTGTGAATGTGTCTGTATGTGTATACATATATATACATATATACATATACGCATGCACATATGCACACACATACACATGTGCATACACACATATATAGATGTAGATGAGGATTTGAATGCAGATATAGACACAGTCACAGACACAGGCACAGGCACAGGAACAGGAACAGGCACAGTCACAGACACAGACACAGACACAGTCACAGGCACAGGCACAGGCACAGGCACAGTCACAGTCACAGACACAGACACAG